TTTGGCAAATGGGTTTCAAGCTGTGAGCAGTTTGGATGTTTTTGTGCAACATTCTTTTAGACATGCTACTAATTGATGCAAAATAAGTTAGTGTTAATTTGTCTATTTAGAAATTTGAGGACTAAAACCTAAATACCACACCTAGAATTTATTGGAGATCACATCTTAAAGCCTTAAACATCACAATTATGGGTTTGATTGCATCACACAACCAGATCATTGAGAAACTATTGGAACTATTTTATTAAAGAACTGAATTTGTCTCAAAATAAAATTACAGATATGTTTTTAATGCTTCTGAAGTTTCCTTGGAAGTATAATGCTCCCTAAGTAGTCTTTTCTAAGCAGGACTAAACTAAAAAATATTAATACCAAGTAGGAAATAAGACAACTAATATAAATAAGAAAACTAAATACTAATAGAAGTAAAATCTTAAAATTACTAAAACTGTATAAAATCTTCAAAAGTATGGTAGTTTTATATTTAATACAATTACAGTTTCTAATATATTTAGGCAATATTAAGCTAATCTATTATGCATCATTAGGGTTAAACTAAAAATACTAATAATAGCAAAAAAGGAAATGATATTACAAATACAAATAAGAAAACTAAATACTAATAAAAATAAATTACTAAAATTACTAAAACTATCATAATAGAATCTTAAATAGAATAGTAGTCTTATATTTAAGTAAAAATCATGTTTCTAATCTATTTATACAATCTACAGGAACTCCATTCTGCATCAATTAGCCTTACTGTTCTTTCAACAATTTAGCTCTGTGCTTTTCAGGAACCTAGTCCAGAACAAGATATAAGGAAAAATGTGTTTACATATCGCAAACATGATTACAAATACAGGGAAAAGGATCATGTATTCACTAGCACCTTTTTAGTCCAAAACAAATTTTACCTGTTCCTTTAATAATACAGCATGACAACCTATGTCTCTCATCTAAAGGGGAATTTTCCAAGTTCAATCTCACAAAACCCAAGCATCAAAAAGTTTATTGGAGAAATGACAAGAGAAAGTAGCTAACCCCTAGGAGCTAATTTTTCCCACAGAATATCCTAGATATTTCTAAAGCTTTACCATAGATAATAGAATCACAACAATGCTGAGCAATAACCAGATACAAAAACAGAACCTTTTGAGAAAAATGAAATGCAAAAACTTATAAAAAAAAGAGCTTGTCTCAGCTTGCAAAAGTAAGAAAATGACACAAGAACACTGCAAATTATACAAAAGATTAAAGTATTTTCATATAGACAACAATTTGAATTATTAATTCAAATTTAGCTGAGAATAACAAGCACTTACAGGAAAATATACCTTGTTTTCCCACTCGAACTCAGCCCACATGGTTCGAAATGCCACATCGCCACAAGATGCAGGTGAAATATAATCCATTATATCAATATGAATGTCATTTAGAACTACAACTGTTCTTTCAAGAACATTTGAAGAAGTCTCATACACAATGTTACCAAATATGACTCCTGTTTCAGTTGAAGAGACCTTAATATTTGCCTTTATCTGCTTGCTTGACTCTGGAGCCAATGTATAATTCTGAGGACGCTCCACAAGCTTTAGATCACCCATTGTAGCCAATTCCAGGCACAAATTCTGTAAAGTCTCCTTTGTTCGATTGATAACAGTCACATCAAGGACAATGTCGTAATGATTCACTGTCACATATGCCTCAGCATAAACAGGATCACTGAATCCTGTGAGTTGAAGAATTCGATTAAGTTTATTTGCATCATCTCCATCCTTGGTGAACTCCCCAGTAGCACGTTTTAGATCATCCTGAACCTCATCTTCTAACTCAATCTGGCTCATACCCTGGAAGAAGAGTCATCAAAGAAGATAGTAGAAATTTTCAAAATTTGAGGCAAGAGAGATGAAGAAAAGTTGGGGAAAAAACCAAACGATCAAAATCAAAATGACAGAAAACAAGAAGCTGGCAGGTTAAATTAAATAGGAATACCAAGAAACTTCAAGTTTCTTAGAACCTAATTATGAAAGATTTACTTCGTTAAATGTTAATAACATGAAAGATTTACTTCGTTAAGTGTTAATAAGTCATCAAGTAGTGATTGTATAGCAGCCTTACCTTTCTGCTCTTCAAATGGTAGAAATCAACGAGATCATCTGGTTGTGCATGAGATGTCTGAGCTTTTGCTTTTATTTCCTCTGATTCACGTCGTTGCTTATCCAAAAGCATTTTCACAAAACTCTCTCTGCAAGAACGCATCCATATTTTCCTCATTTCATCACCAGTGTTACATAGTAATCTAATACAAAGGACAATCCTGTCATGAGAATCATTATCAATAGGATGTGAAAATAACGAAGATTGACCCAGCTGAAGTATAGAGACCATGATCAGTAATGCTTCAGTGGTGGCCTTGTTTACTTCAACTTTTGAGGGCTGGACCTCTTCCAACCTAAAAATCAGCTTTGTTAACGTGCAAGCGACAACTGCTCCAAGGAAAAAATCACCGGAAAGGATCAGCGATCTCAAGTTGCCCACAGAAGACAAGGATCCTTGAACAATAGTTGGCGATGTCAAAGCAGTTTCCAGTGCAGCACTTTGGGTCGCATAGGTTCCATCTGCAAGAACTGCAGGCCTTCGAGAGGAGACTGCTGCAGAGCTTGCCTGCTGATGTTTCTTGGAAGCATCTTCTGTCTCCCTTTCCTCGGAGGCTGTATAAAATGGCAGGTCTCCTAGACATTGCTTAATGGTGGCAATTCCACTTTCAACCTCGGAGAGGGATAAACAGTACTCCCCAATGATCCAGAGAGCACAAGAACACACTCTTGCAGCACGAATCTGATAGAAAGTATCTAGCAATCTTGTCATAATTGAAACCCGCAATTTTGTGTTGGTCTCAATAATCTCTCTCACAAAAACAATCACATCCATTGCAGAAGCCGCATTGTTGTCGCCTAGGAAATCCATCAAGAGATGAACCACCGTGCTGGCCACTTCAGGGAACTTAATCGCGCAAGAGTGTATGGCTTGAACGAGCATTTGCCTGTACTCCCCACACTTCTCAATGTCCCCGCTCTGCGTCTTCATCACTTCCTTCTTTAACACCAACACAACCTCGTCCACATTCCGTAGCGTTACCAACTCTAGCACGATATCAAGGGTTTTTCGCCTGATGTCGAGATTCGGACTTGATAGCGCCCTGAGCACGTCCATGACCATCTCGACCATGACCTCTCTGTGCGAGCCCTTGAGTTCATTAAGACGATCGAGGACAATGAGCTTCACGTTGTTATCGCTCTGCGACGCCAGCAGCTGACAGTAGGTGTTAGCTGCGGCCCTTATGGCAGATGGTGCGGACGACAAGGACACCAAAGTCCCCGCGCATTCGTAAAGAACGGCAGCAGAGGGGGCATTCACTAATTGTATGATGATCTTAATGTACTTACCCTTCTCGTTTCGATTCGTTCTGCAAACCTTTCGAATCAATTCAAGCAGTATCATCTGCAGCTGCTCTCCCCAGTCAGTAATTTTCTCGAGATTAGCGAAAAGGTAACTAACGGCGCGATCCTGAGCACAAGTGAATAGCATGAGGAAGGCATTACGCTTGCTCGAAGGGTCCTGCTCAGAAGAGAGGACCTTCTCGATGATTTCCGGAGCCGAATCGAGCAGCTGCTCACCTTGAGGAAGCTTGTAAAGGGACATTACAGCGAGAATGGCGTTCCTGCGAACGAAGGGATGACGATGCTCGAGGTTGGTTAATATGGAAGGAATCAAAGGCTCAATGATCTCAGTCTCCTTGAGACGGCAGAGGAACCGCAAGGTAACGCCCCGGATGTATTCGTTTGGATGCTGCAGATTATTCCGCAGGTTCTGGCAGATTAAGATCATCTCCGGAAGAACTTTGCCCCGGGAATCAGTCTTGTCGATAATCTCGAGATAGATCAGGAGAAGCTTTTGGATCGTGTGATCCTCGCTAGGGAGCACATAGCGTATGATGGTGATGAAGAGCTGAGGAATGGTCTCGCCATTGAGTAGAAGCATGATGGCCTTCTTGAGAGCGTCGATTTTGGATTCAACGTCATTTCCCTCAAGAGCTTCCTTGATCTCGGTAGCGAGTGCAGGCGTGCTCTTGTCAAAGTGAACAAGAATGCTGCAAGATTTCTCCATGACGGGATCAAAGGGATCTGAAATCGTACAGTTTCAGATCTCAATTTATTGAGATGAAAATTCACGATCTGTGATTTAGTGAGGGAATTCTGTATGTGCTGAAGAGATGCGTAGTGTTTAGTAGCAGTTTCTATGGATATTCCATTGCAGAGGATGCGAGAGAAATGGATTTGAATATGAAGGGGAGAGTTCGAGCAGCGACACCAGATCCCTCGCACTGGTCTTTGCAATGGAGAGGAGATATCTCAAAACGATGTCGGATTGATAAATAGTCTTGGTCTTGGTCCCGACTTGAACCTGGCCATCAAACGATGTCGTTTTTGAAGAAATGGTCTTGAGCTTGGTCCGGGAATTGGCACTGGGCTTGAACCTGGTCCATTAAACGATGTCGTTTTCAATAAACGGCTTTGGGCTTTGTCCGGGATCTGGCACCCTTGAATCTGGGCCCTTAGACGACGTCGCTTTAAAGAAATGGTCTTGGGCTTGGGCCGGGATCTGGCACCCGGCTTGAACCTGGCCTGAGCTTGGGCTTGTGTTGCATTAGGTGTAAAACAAGAGGGCTTCATATTGGGTTGTGCTTTCTTTAGGAATTAGTTCTTAAAGTCTACTTAGGCTGAAAATACTCAAAAACAAAGTCTACCGACATAAAAACCTAATTGTTGCATAAATTATGGAAACATGAAAAGGATTTTAAGGAAAATATGAAAATATGACAAAAATTTAAAGAAAATATGAACATATGATTGCATTGGAAGCCCACAAAAGATGACTTCTTTCAAGTACAATTTAAATATCATACTAAAAACATGACTAATTCATATCCTTAAGAGAATGGCAACCTAACAGTTAGCAAGTTTGTGTCAAATATATATATATTACATACACTAACCAATAACCCGTAGTTACACTAACCAATAACCCGTAATTCTTTTTTTCTCTTTAAGAAAAAAAAATCTTTTTAGAACACTATTTTTTAAAAAGATTTTAAAATTTTGATTATAAAAAATATAACTAGACTCATAAATAACTTTTAATGTAGAGACCCGAACTTAAAAAAAAATAAAATTATAAATTAAATACAGAAATAAAATAATAGAGATAAGATTTACATTCATTACACAATAGTTTAGAATACACAATAGGGATATGAGAATATTTCTTCTAAAAGAACAAATAAAAATCAAAGAAATAAACAAAAAGTAAATAACTGAGCATCTTAAAACGACCTTTACTAACTTTTAAAAAAAGTTCAAGTGGTGAACTATTCATAACTCTCTTATTGATAAGGATCTGGATCTTGATCCTCTTGATCTGAAATAGTTAATGAAAGAGTGAGCTACACTAGCTCAGTAAAAATATCACACTACTCACCGATATAGAAACTGA